TTTTCATATGATTATGGAAAGGGTTATATTGCTTTTGCTATATATGTATTGAGTATTGCTGAGAAGTGCATGTGATATTCATCCTTTTATGTTGTTGTTAATGGCATATCTGATACAGGAATGAAAGACATATCTTCCAGCTATAGTAGTTGCTGCAAATAATTGAGCCTTAGTCAGGGAAACCAGAGGTGACAGAGCACTACAGCAGTCACTACGTCACATGTTGTAATCTTCATTAGTCGGATTTAACAACGACTGGAACAACTGTGGACATATTCTGGCTCGGAATCCCCCTTGAGGGATATCTTAACAAGTCCAAAATATCTCAGAAGCTCTCCGGGGGAATGTGTACAATTGTCTATAGTAGTCCATAATCACACCGAGCTCCACAAACCAATAACCAAAGCCAAGAAATATGATTCATCAAAATGGAAATCAATAAAATCAAATGTACTCAGAACATTAGCTACATTGACGCCAAGAAACTTGTTCCATCCTTTAACCAACATGAGTCATATGCCTCTGTTACCAAAAGACCATCTCTGACAACGGCTTCAACTGAATATCAGACAGACTTTACATGGACAAAATCCACCAACCCTGAACTTGTCCTAATTGAAGATATGGTACCACATAGAGAGTTTGCTACACAAACTGCTGAATTGCTACCAGCTAATTTACTGCCATCTCAATCTCCCACTACTTCTTTTTCACAGAAGGAATCTTCATCTCACATACAATCTAGTCTCGGGAAACATCAAAATAGAAATGTTCAAATTCAACTCAAAACAGATTCTTTGCCAAGGCAACAGTGCAAAAGTGAACATGAAACTCATGTCAAGCAACCTGTAAAGGTAAATCAAAAGATAAATAGGATCAATCAAAGCGATAGGCTCGCTAGGGGTTCAAAGAATCAAATCCAGCTTTACAATATGTTTGGATTCCTCGAAGATATGGATGTGTCTGAACACATCAATCATCGGACAGGAAGTATATCACCTTCAAAGTCAAGGTGTGGTAGATCACCAATAAATGCACCCAAATCATGACTCATTCACACAATATAATACCGTGGAATTGTAGAGGTTTTAGGGCTAATTATATTTAACTTGGACTTCTTCAGCAGGACTTCATTCCCATAGTATTTTGTCTTCTGGAAACATTCCTGAAGGAAACGGAGAGAGTAGATTTTCATAGGTATGATAAACAAAATTATTCCTCAAACACAGAGAAAGCGTCGGGTGGTGTGTCCGTGATGGTTCGTCAAAACATACTTCAAAATCCAGTGCCACTCAAAACTGATCTTCAAGCAGTAGCGGTACGAATAACTTTAAATGTTGCAATTACACTATACTCCTTATATGTACCACCTTCATCTTCTCCTCAACTTCTGACATTTCAGAATTCAATCGATCAGCTTCTCAGGCTTCTAATGGGCGATTTGAATGGACACAGTCCCTTGTGGAGTAGCACTACTTTGAACAACAAAGGTAAAATAATAGAACAATTACTTATCAATAATAATCTTTTTATTTTTAATGATGACTCCAATATATACTTGCATCCGGCTACTGGGACATATTCAGCCCTCGATCTTGCAATTGCAGATCCTTCACTGTAAAATGATTTTGAATGGACAGTACATGATGATCTGTGTGGGAGTGATCACTTTCCAACCCTCCTTAAACACATTACACCAAACAAAGAGATTCCAGATTCTAGATGCAATTTCAATAAAGCTGACTGGACTTTTTCCAGCAGTTATGTACTGACAACCTTTTATCTGTATCGTATCAGAACGTAGATGATCCTATTGAATCCTTTCCAAGGGATCTCACTAATATCGCCACGAACACTATTCCTAAATCCTCCACAGTTCCCCGTATTAGAAAGCCATGGTTCAATGATGAATGCAGACAAGCTAGAATGAGGAATAGGAAAAAGGCAGAAAAACTTTTTAAGGCCAATCCATCATCAACTCATCTAAACAATTTTAAAATATTAAGAGCAAAAGCTCGTTAGACTAGGAAAGGAACGAAACGTTCTTCATGGCGAACATTTGTTTCTGAAATAAATACTCGAACGCCTCTCAATAAAGTGTGGAACATGTTCCAGAAAGGGTAAGGGATCTCGACACACTCTGCATCGTCTCAAGGTGCATGATAATATTTTAACAAGAAAACAGTGCATCGCAAACAAATTAGTGGAAACAATAGCAAATAGTTCTTCTTCTAACTACACTGCTGAATTAAAAAAATATATAACTAAGCAGGGGCAGCAGTATATCAAATTTTCCTCCGATAATTCGGAAGATTATAATGAATCATTTTCTCTTGATGAGCTCTCTGCAGCTCTTGATAAATCCCATGACACTGCAACTCGGCCTGATGAGATTCATTACCAATTGTTAAAGCACCTCCCTCATAAATCGTTGTTAGTGCTTCTTAGTATATTTGATAACATTTGGGAACAAGGTACATTCCCAGATTCCTGGCACAAAGCAATCATCATTCCTATTCCTAAGCCAGGCAAAGATAATACCAATCCAACAAATTACCGTCCAATTGCCTTGACTAGCTGTGTTTGTAAAACATTGGAAAGAATGATTAACAATAGACTTGTTTGGCATCTTGAATCTAATAACTTAATAACAGATATCCGATGTGGATTCAGACGTCATAGAAGTACAGTTGATCATCTTGTTCGACTTGACAATAGACAATTTCAGGTTCGCCTGGGATAGACTCTGTCAGATATTTTTTCTCAAGAAATGGGCGTGCCACAGGGGAGAATTCTATCAGTTACCTTGTTTAGCATTACAATCAACAGTCTCGCCAAAGTGCTAAATGAACACATTGACGGTTCATTATTTGTTGACGACTTTAATGTGTCTTGTCGCAGAACTAACATGTATACTATTGAGAGACAGCTGCAAATGTGTCTCAACAAAATTCATAAGTGGTCTCAGCGGTTTTAAGTTTTTACTGACCAAGACATGTTGTCTCCATTTCTGCAATAAGAGGAAATTACATAATGATCCTGAATTGTTCTGAATACTAATAGTTGAAGAGACAAAAAAATTAGGTATTACATTTGATAGCAAACTGTCGTTTATTCCCCATATTAAAACTCTGAAGACCAAATGTCTAAATGCACTTGATATTCTTAAAGTTGTGTCACATGCTCATTAGGGTGGGACAAAAGAAACACTTCTGCATCTCTACAGAGTGTTGGTTCGATCTAAGCTAGACTATGGATGTTTTATTAATGGGTCAGCCCATAAATCATATTTACGGGAACTAGATAGCATTCACCATCAGGGACAGAGGTTCTGCTTAGGTGCCTTCAGAACCTCTCCTATTGAAAGTCTGTATGTTGAAGCCAAAGAACCGTGTCTCAAATTAAGACCGATTTAGCTTGCTCTTCAATATATCACTTAACTTAAATCGAATCCTTCTAATCCAGCCTTTGACAATGTTATTTAAACCTCTGTATGTGGGTTCGTATGCCAAAAGGTGTAACGCAATACCGCCATTAGGCATTCGCATGAAACTCCCATGTTAGATGCTAATGGAAATCTAGCATCTATTGCCAGGTTACAAATGTCAGATATACCTCCATGGCAATCTCTGCAGCCTGTGGTCAATCTTGAACTAACAAGGTTGAAAAAGGCCAATACAAATGCATTACAATATCAACAAGCTTTTCTAGATGTTAGAGATGAATACCCCTCTTACACTTGCATTTACACAGATGGCTCAAAAGAAGGGGAGAAAGTATCTGCTGCTGCAGTTACAAATGATGGTACGTTTTCGCTAAGACTGACTAATGACAGTTCCATTTTCACTGAAGAGGCAAAGGCTATTTTGTTAGCTTTGCAGTATATTAAGCACTCGCCGAACAGACAATTCATCATTTTTTCTGATAGTTTATCCTATAAATGGTCGGAAATCTGATCATCCTTTTTTGGCTGAAATTTTAGAACATAACCTGAATTTATCAGTGGCCGATAATGATATTGTCTTGTGTTGGCTTCCAAGCAATGTTGGAATAAAAGGTAACAAAAAAGCGAATGCAGCAGCAAAAGCTGCTATTGAACAGAGAGTAACACAGACTAAATTCCCTTATACTGATTGTAAACCAGTTATTAGGCAATATATTAATAAATGTTGGCTGTCAAATTGGGATACTCAAACCACTAACAAGCTGCACAATATTCAACCATTCAAATGTCACAACAATATCAGTGTCGGTTGTCGTAGAGATGACGTTGTTCTAAGCCGATGCCGTATAGGACATTCACATTTTACTCATGCTTTCCTTTTAAAGCCATACAATTATAGCATTTTTGAAAGAAATCAATCTTTATGACAAGATATAGGTTTTAACACAAATAGTCATATCTTTTCTATTTGTCTGTGGTATATGACTGATATTTTATGTGCTCTTTGATATCATACTTTTAGGGTTGTTCTTTATAAGTAGGTGTCTGAAAGTTTAACTGGTTCTCGCCGTGAATAGCTTGAAAATTGTTGATGCAGCGTAGAAAAATATTCATTCATTAATTACAAATGTAGAGTTAATACAAATTACCCTTAAAACTATGATATCTATCTTCGCGTATGCATGTTTGCGTTGATATGAAGGCAGTCTATCTATACTGGTGATTCAGAAATCGATCATCTAATGGTTACAGGTCAATGAAGATTACATAACAGCATAATTCAGCACGACCCAGGGGGTTGCTGTACGATGACCCTGCCTGGTCACGCAGTGTGACCAGCCGATCCCCACTAGCGTCGGCTCCTTAGACAGGTTCGATGTTCTGGGAACACCAGAATCCCCATGGCGCAGTTATGTTACAGAAATCGTTAATGAATAATGCTAGCCGTGCACGCGACCCACGATGAAACGGCTTGTTAAAAGGTGGTAATCGGCAATGACATTCTGAGACAAAGGCAGACAGCTCGTGAACATAAGTGATTGGGTGAGGAGGGAATGTTTACGTCAGCAGCTGCGGCAATATAACTAGACAAGACGATGCAGGTGTTTATAGGATGAGCCTCCCACTGATTCAGTACCTATACAATAGCAGTATTTGTTCATGAACAGTTACTGTAGGGAAGTCATTATAGAATATCTGGCACAAGCTGGGAGAATTCCTTGACTGCTTGTGGTCATCTTTAATCTCGGGACTACAAGGATTTGTTTGGAAATCACTGTTAGATTCTCCTTGCTCCTGAGATCTGAGATCTCCATGTTATCTTAAGTTGTGGAAGGAGCTATAGACTGAGAAAATTGATGTCATCATAAGTGAGCGATATTCACTGAACATGTTCCTGTGGTCAGTTATTCTGACTACAATGATATATGCCAGGTTCGTTGTGTCTCTTTTTCAGTGTATTTCAAACTCAGATGAATGTCCACATGTTGGCGGTTTGATAACATGACCTTGTTGCTGTTTGACACAGTTGTGTAATCATCTCTTTCGCGAAATGTTTAAATCATAAACAAATTACATAAAATAGTTTTTTCAAGCGTATATCACAAAGGTGACTTTCTATTTAATCTTAAAATGAGCTTAAAGCTGTCATATAGATCACCCGGGATACGCAGAGAGTGTGTGTGTTAACAGTAAAACACACGTGTACAATTGTTTAACCGCTTCATCTGTTTCATATTTAGATTTATGCATGACATGACGAAACACTCTCCACACGTCTGTATGACAAGAGGGATATTTTCAACTTTTCAATAGTCAACTTTCCCTTTATGTCGAGCTATAATTCCTACAGCACCAACTCTTGGTGTCTACATTTCGTAACCTTTGAGGTACAATGGCGCATGCCCTTTCTCAATAGAATTCGAAGCGCGTCATACATTTCTTGTTCAGAAGTTGTTTGATCAACGTTACAACATTCAAGGCATCAGTAAAGAATTAAAAAAGTTTTATGGTGGACATTTGGAGAACATTTCCCAAATTTGAGGCCTCACTTGACTTGTCTTTGCATGTGTGTGTGACGGGTGCCACCGATTGGGCAGGATACGCTCAACATTTTCGCGAACACCTGGTATCATCACTATTTGATAGTGATTCATAAACACATACTCATGATATAGTCGGAATCGTACATACCTTGTTTTTGACATAGATTTCTTAAGAATATGGAAAGGGGTTTCGTCGCTCTTATTTAACTGAATAAATCAGATGCACTTGATACCATATGTCAGTTTTAGATGGTGACATTATCGAGTTTCAAATAAATACGTTTGAGTTGTTTTGATTTCAGCTTGGCCTGCAATCCAGACTTCTGCATAGGTAGAGCAGAGGGCGAGTTTTTCTGTGACCCTGCTGACAGTGCCTCCTACTATCGGTGTGTTTTTAGCAAAGCCTTTCACTTCACCTGTGGGGCTGGTACTGTTTATGACGGTAGAACATGTAACTGGCCGAACACAGCATGCATAACTAGCCCTGTGCCCGACCCCGTGCCAGGTGAGGTTGTAGGCGGGATCTGTGTACCCATTGCGGGAACAGGCACAACCGGAAGTGCTGGTAATATTGAAACCACTCTTGCCATCGAAACTACGGAAACGACCGGAAGTGCAAGTAGCCTCGGAACCACGGCAATGCCGTCCAGCACTGAAGGTAGGTGTTTTAGTAAAACGATGTTTGGTTCAAAACTGATCTTTTTTACTGTGACAAGGATCCAGATTGTTGACCGTCCCCTTGTACTGTATTGCTTATACTTTCTTCTGTATACTATGCAAAAAAAAGAAAAGAATGCCAGCACTGGGATACTCGACGTTGGGCTAATGTCATGTTTTCGAGTTTGGAACGTCCTAAGGGGGGTTTTATGGCCGTTAATTTCGTACAGCATGATCGTTTTGGGGTGGGTCCACAAGGATATGGGGTGGTTACAATAGCTGGACGAACTGTGCTCCATAGTGTACATGGCAGGGTCAATACTATCGGGACAACTGCATTGCACCACGCCTTTCTAAGTACAAATGCTGCACATTATCATGATAGTCATAGTAATGGTGTTTATTATTATTCTTATCTGTGATATCAGTTTTAAGTTTGTTGTGAAACACACTCTGTAGCCTTGGCTAGTGGTTTAGGATGAGAGACTGCCCGAATGGCGGTTGCCTCCTTCGAGATCTGCGCTTTTGTCACTCCTCGAGTATATAAGCATGGTTGGATTCAAGACTGGATTCGATCTCATCCCCCAGCGGTCTCAGCTGCAATCCAACTCTCCAACTATCCAACATGGCGTCAAATCGCAACCGGACACTATCATTCGACCGTCACCAAAACAGAAATGACCGCCCGCAGTCCCCCCGCAAGCATTAACCTAGACCTCAAGCCTTTAAATAACCCCACAACAGTCATACCACCTCCTTTCGGAAAATCCCCTCCAAACTCGCGCACGATCTCAATCGCTACCCCCTGCAGCTCCCAATCCACTCCACTACGTTTTCTAGCCGCCACGGCCACAGCCACAGCCACAGCCACAGCCACAGCCACAGCCACAGCCACAGCCACGGCCACAGCCACAGCCACAGCCACGGCCACAGCCACAGCCACGGGGTGTAAATGCCCTCTACAATCTCCCGAATAACTTCAAACCGAATCAAAGATAAAATAAAAAGGGCCTTGTTCCACCTTGGCCTAATAAAACATCAATCAATATTTAGTACCTCTAGCATTTAATACAGGTCCAACCCCCTCACTTCACAGTACACAAACACATTTGGGTTCATACTAAAACAAGCCAATTAAAAATTCAATTTTTTTAACAGCTGCGGCAGAGCCTTCAAAATAAACTTTAAAAGTGTCCTCACTTTGGCAATAAAAGAAACACCAATAGTTGTCATAATCTGGCATGGTAGATTCTTTGTTGGTTGAAACAAAAGGGGACAGTTAGTCTGACCCTCCGGAGTCTGACCGCGACTTTCAAGCTTACGTGAACGAAATAAAAAAAACTCCTGACCACGACCTTCAAGCTTACGTGAACGAAATAAAAAAACTCCAAACCCAGCCCCATATTATGAACCTTCTAATAAACACCAGAAAAAATACAAGGCCGCAAAACCAACACCTCCACCATAATCCTAACCTTCAAAGCACCAAATTTCCCCCTAAAATACTGATGGGATCAATCTCTTGCAAAGTGAGGGCACGGGTGGCCCGGTCGTCTAAGGCGCCGCGGTTCGCTGTGCAGAGTTGCGTCCCTTGGGCACGCCTGAAAGCTATGACTGTGGTTGGTTGGTTGGTTTGTTGTTTAACGCCGCACTCAGCAATATTCCAGCTATATGACGGCGGTCTGTAAATAATCGAGTCTGGACCAGACAATCCAGTGATTAAAATCATGAGCATCGATCCACGCAATTGGGATCGATGACATGCATCAACCAAGTCAGCGAGCCTGACCACCCGATCCCGTTAGTCGCCTTTCACGACAAGCATAGTCGCCTTTTACGGCAAGCATGGGTTGCTGAAGATCTAGTCTACCCCGGATTTTCACGGGTCTATGATAGTCGGTTCGAATCCCGGTTCGCCCCGATTATGTTTCTAGGTTTGTCAGCACCATACCCGTGCTCGTGAGTTTCACGGAAGTGGTAAACGTCTGAGACCTGCATCACTTCGGGCTTTCCTCCCACATTAAGCTGACACGCCGCGATATAACTGGAATACTGTTAAAAGCAGCGTTAAACCCAAATCACCCACTCTTGCAAAGTGCACAATACAGTAAAACAGTCCAATGTACCATCTGCCATCTTTTCGAAATCAGATTGTAAAAAAACCTAGAGAACTGTTGTAAACGCAGCTCCGAGTTCCATAATATGTCGGAGTGCAATCAACAACTCGATCGGTATGATCAAACTGCCTTTTCAAACACCTGCCCAGTCCGCCAAAACCAAATCCAGTTATTAAAACAATTACGGCTCTCACCTCCCCGTTCCCGCTAAGGCCAGGTTCACACAGTGCCGATTATGGCTCCCGTTTGAGATCAAATAGGGCTACGACACGAAAAGTGAAAAGGATTACTATCCTCAATGATCTGGAATGTCCTATCATTGTCTGAACACATTCCTGTACGTTCGTAACATAGTCCTTCGGGTCGGGAATGGTCCAGAGAGGTCGGCCAAGCACTCCTAACAGTATGGTGCGTCCCGTAACATTCGGGAAACTCAGCCGATTTTGTCTAGTCGGATTACAATCGTGACTATGTCGTGACAGATTCTGCTGTATCGGATCAAAATCGTAACAATGACCTGAGTTGTCTGGACCGTGTCCTGTGGATCGGGAAGCTGTCGTGATGAACGGACATGAATTATTCATTGCCGTTTCTTGTCGATTGAGTCTAGATTGCGTCCAGATCTTGCCAAATGCGAACTGTCTTTGTCGGTTCACTGTCCGGTCACTGTCGGATCTCTGTCGGATCGCATTCGGGAGAATCGGGACGCTGTCGAGACGGATTCGGACGTTTATTACCATGCGGAAGATACAAATCGGATCAGATTCGGATTCAGAACGGGAGAATCGGGACGAATTCGACTTGAAACGGCTGAATCGGTACGCTATCTGATTGTTTGTGAATTTCCCGCCACGAATCACAGGATCTTGATCAGACTTCTGACAAATTTCAATCGGGAATGATCCTATGAATGACGGCAGTAAAAATCCTGAATGTGTGACTGAGCCCCCAAGACCTAAACTCTAAAATTAGCAACTGGTAGGACAGGGATTTTCATAGCACGCACGCACGCACGCACACCATAAAACCCATATTGTTCCCTTTATTATAAAGACCTCGTGGCCTCGTGACACATGATGATTTAAGAAGAAAATGATAAAATTATTTGTGATAGCAAGAATAGATTATGCATGTTTGTTTAAGATTATTAAATTATCGTTTTCCTATGTATTATGTTATATATAACACGACACACACACGCACGCACGCGCACACACACACACACACACACACACACAAACACGTCTTCCCAAGGTCAACCCAAAACAAAAGCAAAGCTATAAAAGGAACTGTCTCTGCCAACAACACAATAGGAACAATTCTCCAGTATCTCCTCCGAACCTCACAATGCACTCTCCCGTCAGCCGAATGTAAACACAACGTGAAATCCATCCAACTATGATGGGACACTACACACACTAAAATAAACATGCTCCTAACACTACTATCATGCACATAATCCAGTGGAATGCAAATGACATCATACCCAAATCCCATGAAATTAAATCTCTAATAAATCGAAATAATCTCAACCCACAAATAATAGCAAGAATTAAGCATCTAAACTACCAAAGAATTTACGATTCACTTTACCAATTTACACCATACCTAGTTAAAAACACACATTAAAAGTCCAAATGCTCCATGTGGCTTCCTAACACTACTGATACACGAATCACTCAGTTGCAAACACATGCCAATAAACACACTACATAAACACAAGCATACACAATCTCGAAAGAAAACACAAATACAACATCAGTAAACTTGTACCAGCAAACCTCAAACCAGGCCTTTCGACAACACAAACCTTGAAAATCCTAGCAAAACTATTTCGTTTTTCAGACTTAAACGTTTCCGCCTTGGTCTTCAAGATACTCTTCCGAAATTGTTATTAAAATAAAATAAAATACCGAGATATGAAAATCAATCAACCACTTGAAAGGATTTCACGTCATTCGACCATTTTTCAGTGACCTCAACCTTACCATGTCTCCTATGTACAACAACAAAAGTATTCTGTATTCTGTGTTTACCTCCAGTCCCCACTGCTTTCAGAAGAACATTTAGTTGACCCTGCAAACATTCCACTACACCTGCTTACATCACACAACCACCCCAAGCCCATACACTAGTACCCGACCAACGCACCCCAAGCCCATATACTAGTACCCGACAACGCACCCCAAGCCCATATACTTTTACCCGACCAACGCACCCCAAGCCCATATACTTGTACCCGACACCCACCCCAAGCCCATATACTAGTACCCGACAACGCACCCCAAGCCCATAAACTTGTACCCTACAACGCACCCCAAGCCTATATACTTGTACCCGACAACCACCCCAAGCCTATATACTTGTACCCGACCAACGCACCCCAAGCCCATATACTTGTACCCGACAACGCACCCCAAGCCCATATACTTGTACCCGACACCCACCCCAAGCCCATATACTTGTACCCGACACCCACCCCAAGCCCATATACTAGTACCCGACAACGCACCCCAAGCCCATATACTTGTACCCGACACCCACCCCAAGCCCATATACTTGTACCCGACAACCACCCCAAGCCCATATACTTGTACCCGACAACGCACCCCAAGCCCATATACAAGTACCCGCCACCCACCCCAAGCCCATATACTTGTACCCGACAACGCACCCCGGACAATTCGCGAGCTGACACACAACTCTCCACAGCTGGACCAGGTCGTCTGTTCCAGGAGCAAACGATACTATATACTACTCGACAACCGCAGCATACACGGCAAAACACAAACACTCCTTATCACAATCTTGGACACCGCAGAAATGTTTTCGACGAGGAAGCACTTTTATCATACCTTTATGTCAGAATGATGATATCTGATTG